AGAAGTAGAGGAGCAGAGAAGCCGAGAGAAGCAGAGCCATGAGAAGAGCAGAGAGAATGTGAGAGAAGGCCGGAGAGGCCAGATAGAGTGAAGACTTGCTGGGGGCTGGGAGGCCTGCCCGCCTCCCGGCCCCCCAGCACCCTTGCCTGCCATATGCCTGGTAAATCTAAATAAAAGACCTGCAAAAAGCCACTGGGGACTCCAGGACTCTTTCCTCCTTTACCCGGTCTGCTGGATCATAGAAAACCTGCTCAGTGGCCTGTCCTGCCCCTACAGACAGGAACGCAGTCTCTTGGTTCCCACTTTGGGGACGCCATCCCAGCTGCCCGCTCTGCCCTTTCCAGTGACACCGGCAGCAAATCCCGCTGCTCTTCCAGGTAGCTTCACCGCCCCATTCTCCAGCCCTGGTCAGAGCCAGGCGACCACCTTCACATCCACTTACTTTCAGGACCTGAAGACCAGACCCTGCACAGGTCCAGACACCCTCAGCCCGCAGGTTGAATCCTGGGATCCTGAGGACCTCCACGCCCCGCTGGAATGGCACACCTGGACACCCCTCCCCGGGGAGCACATCCAGCTGTGCACAAAATAAACTCATTAAACCATCCTGATGAGACCTTTTAGACCATCCCAAGCTACAGATGTTTCTGCTGCCCACGTTGGACATAAGAAGGCATGTCAGTTCCCATGGGGGCTCCCATGTGGGTTAGAGGACCTCAATTTGCGTCACGTTTGATGGGGTTCTGTGCATCCTCTCTAGTGCTGTCGGGGAGGCAGCAACGAGGACAGCAGCTGACAGCGGCCAGGCTGGGACAGGCCCCTTCCACCTTCTGGACATGGACTGGCAGGAGAGACAGGGTCTGAGCCCGTGACCAAGGGTGCATTTTCTGATTTGTTTGTGTTTATTGTCTAGGTCCCTTCTCCAGACCATAAGCTCCAGGACATCAGGGACCGTGTTCACCTTGGTGACCCCCAGTCCTGTGACAGCACCTGCCGTAGAGTGGGTGCCCAATTGTTACTGCGTGGATTGATGAATGGAAAAGTCAGGTTTAATTGAATTGACCCTCCTCGGAAAAGGCCCACCTCCTCTACTCCTTTTCTGAACCAGGGCTTTTTACTCCCTTTGACCTTGAAGCCTAGAAGTAAGGACACTGAATACAGAGCCACAGGCCCCAGGAGCCAATCCCAGCTACTCTACTAACTTGGGACCATGGACACAAGGCTATCACGTGTGGCCACACTGGTTGTTCACTGCCAATACCAGGAGGAGCCATTCACTTAGACTATAATGTGAATGACTCCTGCTGGGTTTGTGAAGTGGCACAGGCTAGGGTAAAACACTTAACTTTTCCAAGTCTTAGTTTCCACAACTGAAAGGGATTTGGAGGGGCAGTCATGTCTACTTTGCCAGGGTGTGAGGGTTCAGAGTGAACGCTCATAAGTGGTGGCTACTGTGATGATGATGATGACTGAGAAGGAAGCAGGGGTCTGGGGGAGGCACCTATCCCTTGCTCGTGGCTTCCTACCCTGTCTCCTCTTGCTGCCCTGCCTGTCTATGTGCCTATTGCCCAAGCCTGGCCTTACTGCCCTGGCCCCGATCTTATTCCCAGCTCCTCCTCTGATCTGGCCAGGCTCCTGTCCACAGTACTGTGCTCACACCCACCGTCCAACCTGCCCACCCTCCTCTTGGTGGGCTCCCTCAACATTGGAGCCCATCCCTCTGGGAGAGACCTCCTCTCCTCTCATCAAGAGACCCAGGACAAGGACCCTGCCCAGACCCCAACGTTCTGAGTCCCCCATGAACCAGGACTAAGAGGATGGCTATGTGATCGCAGGGTCCTTGTCACCCTAAAGACCCCAAGTAGGGCTCACCCAGGTTGGGATTCGGGGGCAGAGGTTAGACCCCTTCCCTCCAGCCCCAGAGCACCCCTCCAGAATGTTGGGGCCTCTCCAGTTCCCTTTTTCCACCCCACCTCCTCTCCAGGCCCTCTGCACTTCCAGCTGTTCCTGTAGCCCACCCTCCCCCCACTCACGCCCCCAGCATCCTGCAGGAAGCCCACTCCTGTTCCCAAAGGCACTGCTTGAGGCATCTGAGGTGACATGGGGGGGCAGGGCTTGGCTCCCGGCCTGACATTCCTGAAGCCCAGGAGGCAGGTGCTGGGGAAATGACTTCAGAGGGGCAGCTGGGGCTGGGGGTGGCTGCTTCAGCCCAGGGTCCTCTAGGGCCTCATACCTGGTTGCACCTTCCCAGAAGCAGGAAGCTCTGCCCCATCAGCGGGGGCAGGGGCGCTGGTTCTGTCTTGGCCAAGTCCCAGGGTCTTGGAGCCCCTGTAGCTCCTGCAGGAGGTGCCAAAGCTCTCCAGCCAGTCTTCCTTTGTGGGAGCAGGATCCACTCTGGGGGGCTGGAGGAAGCCCACTGAAGTCCACTGGGAACAGGCTGCACTGCGACCTGCTCCTCATGCACCTGAGCATGTTCAGTCAGTTCCCACGTGATGCTGGGAATCAAGGCCCCCCCTTCAGCGCTGGGAGGAGAGGTAAAGTCCCGGAGCCATCACCCCCCAGGATCAGGCTGTTTGGATTGGGTTGGATTGGATTTCAGCTGGGAAGGGGGTGGCCAGAGGATGGCCCATGCCTGTGGTGTTTGGCCGGAGGGGAAGGGGGCCGGGTGAGGAGAGCTTCCACCCCCTTTCCTGTTTGTTCCCCTCACTGTTCATTATTCTACTTCCTTCCACAGGATGCCTGTGGCCTTGCAGGGGCCTCGGGGGTCCTGCACAACCCTCATATGGATTGTGCTGGGCCACGTGCGCGTGCGCCTGCAGGGGTGTGCCTGAGTGTGCAGAGCTTCCATTCACCAGAAAATGGGGCCTTGTAAGACCCCAGAGAACTCCCAGAGGTTTGCCAGGCAGTGTGGGGGCTTGGGTGTCTCCGCAGGGGGGAGATATAGCAGTAGCCCTGGCCCAGGACACATGTTCCAGCATCAGTAGTTGTCCCCCTTCATCCTGCTGCTCTTCAGCCTGGGGACTTGCCCCCTGGAGTACCCTAAGGTGGGGCTGGAGGAGGCTCTTCTAGGAGCTATGTTTGGGGTCATGGTCAGGTGCTCTGCAGGACAGGCCTGGGGCATCTGGGGCTGGCAGGCAAGTCTGTTATTTAATTCCCAACTGCTATGTAACATTGTCACCCGATTGCTTCTCATGCATTCAAAGAGTCTCTCAGTTTTCCCATGGCAGGGAGCATAGCTTCTGCCCCCACTGTCAGCCACCAGCACAAGGTCAGGCATCAGGTAGGCTCATCTATGCTTTTTTCCCTAGTCATGAAGGGACATCAGAGTTTGTGTGTTTGAGATTGTTTTTGAACTCTAAATTCCAACCAGCCACATTCTTCCTAGTAGTGAGATAAGAGGAAGCCCTGGGAAATGAGAGCTATACAACTGACAAAGATTCCCCTTTTGCTTTGACCACCAGGAAGCTCAGAGACAAATTACACATGGTTTAACTAAACCACCAGAGCCCAAGGCTGGCAACTGCTTTCATTTTTGCATTGCAATCAGACTGATTGATAGTGACGAGCTGAGGATTCCGAGGCTGCAATGAGTGATTACACCAGCCATCACCATGGCCAGGGTGTATCTGGACTAAGAAAAGGAAAACAAGAATCCATTAGTGATATCTGCTGTGAGCATGGCCACAGAGAACACCAAGTGCCATAGCCAGTCCAGGCAACTCAGCTGTGTTTATTTTACCCAAGTCTACACTGGGTCATAAATTTATATTTTCCCTATTATGTTTTATATTTTATTATATGTACTGCCTTTGTGGGATGAGGCAGGTTATAAATAAAATTAGCTGGAATGGCTTCACTCAGAGCCCTCAGCTCTCTAAGTACAAGAGCTCCAGGGAAGAATCTCTGATTACTGCAGAGAACAGCCTCCCAGGAACTCCTGCAGCCCCCCACTCCCCCTGCTATGCCCTGCACCTCCCACAGGCCTGAAAGGTCTGCCATAGATTTCAACCATCAAAAAAGCTTCTTGCAAAAAATTAATTAGGCTCATATCAAGAGTGTACCTCTTGATGTGCCTCCTCCCTCCTTGCTGAGGACAAGGCTGTCTAGACTATCACCCCCCATCTCTCTTTGGGGAGATTCTGTGCCTACACCGTATCAGAATCTGAGAATCTAAAGCACCCCGATTCAGGTCACTCCAGCAGGCTACTAAAATACAGATTCCTTGTCCTAGTCCAGTTCTGCTGCGTCAGAATTCCTGAACTCTGGAATCTGCATTTCACCAAGGCTCCCACTAGAGTGGGACACGCACAGGCCTGGGGCTGGTGAGGCTCCAGGAGTAACAGGGAGCAACTCTGGGCTCCACTGGCTTCTTGAACTAGAGCAGCAGCGCCACCTGGTGGTAACGCTGAAACAGTCCTGTCCAAGGTCCTCGCTGCCACTGCAGGGGGACAGGGCCTCACCCCACACTTCCTCCTCTCCTCCTGGAGATGCTGGGGGACAAGGAGACAGTGGAGCAGTGTGCGCCTCGGTCAGCCTTCCTCTCAGCCTTCCCTAAGCAGCCACCAGAGGGGACTTCCCTTACCATGTACCCTAAGGCAGCCCTAAGTCCAGACCATCTCCTCTGGGCTGCCCAAGGCTGGGCAGGGCTGTGCCCCTTTTAGAGGAAGGCTCACATGTCCTTTAAAGCCTCATATTGTAGCTGTAAAAGCTCTGAGCTCTGCATATCCACCCCATCACATTTCTTCAATACACAAGCATTTCTTTCCTTTCCAGAAAACAGATGCTTAATGAAGAGACTGAGTTTACCCAGTGGCTTCGCTGACCCCTTCACCAGCCAGTCTGTGTGGGCCTTCCAGGGGCGCCTGCATCTTGGTTTTAGAGACAGAAGCCTAGAAATATGCTCTACATCTGTTTAGATGCACAGTTCAGGCATCGCATTCCCTGTACACCAGGCTGAGTCGGGGGCCAGAGCTGTCCTGCCTCGGCCTCCCCCGGCAGCAGTGTCTCCAAGTCCACAGGCTGGATTGTTACAAATTCTCTTTAATAGTCAATCACTAAATCGGGCACGTTTTATAGAACTGTGGTGGCACTTCCATGCGGTCTCCTACGGGACACAGTCACATCCACGGGGCGGAGCACAGGCCAGTCTGGCTCCTCCCACGAGAAGGCTCCCATCCTCCCTGCTCCCTGGACAGCCTGGGTGCTGGGGGGGGTCAGTTCATGTCATGCCCAGGCTGCCCAGGGTGCATTTGGCCCTCTGCCCACCGGCAGCCTCCATTGGCCCAGCTAACCTGGGCCCCCACAGTGTGGCTGGGCTGATCTGAGCTGCCGGGGTGAGGCTGGGGAAGGGGTGCTGCTCCCAATGTCAGGTAAAGCCACCCTTCCCCACCACTTTCAAGAAAATGTAAAAACCACAGATCTAAGCATCATAGTGGGCGAAACAATTGACCCACGTAGTGGGCAGTCCCTGGCAGCCCAGTGCAGCGTGCCTTCTCCACCCCCACCCTCATTTTTAATATACGTTCCCCCAAACAATATATACAGCCCAGGGGCCAGGCAGAGCCCCAGCCCACCGCACAGGGATGCTGCAGGGAGCATGTTCTCTGTGTCGCTCTTAACTCCAGCGGGCAGTGGGCAGAAGAGCAGCAGAAAGGCAGAGAGAGGGACCCAAGGCCCCAGAAAGCACCCCACTTCCAGTCAGCCCAGGATGGGTGAAGGACCTGGGCAGTGAGGTGGGAGGCAGGTCCGGAGGAGGGAGCCAGGGAGAGCCACAGGAGCCTGACATTGGGGGATGAGCAGGAAGGTGGGGACAGCTGCTGCCTCAGTACTTGGGGACCTTGCTGTAGTCTTCACTGTGGATGCGCCGGCACAAGCAGATGGACAGGAGCATCCCCAGGAGCTGTGTAGGGAGAGGGCAGGATCAGACGGAGGCAGGGCGGTGGAGGTGCCGGAGGGCGGCTCGCTGTCTGGGTCAGTCCACGAGGTTCGACCCAATCAAGTGGATTCTCGACTCAAGCCTGGGAGCTGAGGGACCAGTGGTGGGGCCAGTCCTGCTGCAGGACCTCCAGAAGCTGATGGACCGACTCACCACCCCCACCCCAGGGCATCCTCGGAGCAGGGACAATGGAGGGAGGGGGTGGAGGGGAGGGTCCCCGGACCTCAATGAGAGCGACGCCCACACACACGCCCAGGATGATGCCCAGGTTGTTCTGCAGCCACTCCTGCACCTTCTTCATGCAGCCCTGCAAGGGGAGAACACGCCACGTCACCCCACGCGGCATCACCAGGTGCCTGCGGATGGGGGTCTCTGTTGCTAGACCAGGTGAATGAATGAATACAAAGAAGAAGATACAGATGAGAGGAATCAAGGCAGGAACAGTTCAGGGAAGGAAGGACAGACAGCAGCCCAGGAGAGCCTGGGGGGACTGGATCTGTACCCTTGGGCTCCCCCAAGTGTGGCCCCACAGTCCACATACCTCCTTGTACACGGGCCATCTGCTGGGGTCGTTGCCACTCGAGCCCCCACTGCTGGAGACCACACAGAAGCCCGTCGTCACCGAGAGGCTGTCGTTGTTGTTCTTTTTCTCACAGGAACAGGGGAAGGTGATGTCCGTGCGGTTCATGAGCTCGGCGTTCTCCGTCCAGTTCATGAAGCTGTCCCAGCCGCAGCAGCTCCCCTGGACAAAGGAGGGGGGCAGGATACTGGGGGCACCGCTCACTCGGGCCTCCTGTGGAGGCTCAGCTCTGCCGCTGGCCGGCTCTCCAGGTCCCACCAAACCCCCAGGATTAGAGTTTCGGTTTCACTTTGGTGTTTTGAGAATCACAGGGGATGGAAAGGGCCTTGCAGGAAACACATACCATAAACTTCATACCACAGGAAATGAAAGTCAGGACCAGCACTAATACCGAGCAGGAGAAGAGGGAAGTTCAAGTTGAAAGGCGGAACACAGGTGTGGGGATCTGAGGCGGGCAGAGGCCACGCAAGCTGAGAGCAGGGGTCTGGACTTAGGTGACTGGGGCCCCATCCCCGTCTGCAGCCTCAGCCGCTCTCCTTGGGCAAAGCACTGGCCTCAGTTTCCTCATCTGCAAAATGAGGCTACCAAGGGGTCAAGGGAGGCAGTGTGTCCAGCACAGGTGTGGAGAGCACAGTAGCTGCCCAGGAAAGCCCAGCCCCACTACATGCTCAGCATGAGCCCTGAGTTTCCTGGTTGCCAGAGTGAAAAAGGAAACACGGCCCAGACAGCTTAGGTAGAGCAGAAAATGCGCTCGTTGCAGAGATGAAGAAAGACTTTGGGGACTCTGTGTGCTTAAAGGAGCCTCCGTGGGCTTGCGAAGGGGACCCTGAGAGGTTTGGGGTCACATCTAGGCTTGGATTTCTGATAACTAAGAATCTCAGGACTAGGGGGGCCAGACATTTCCCCAGAAGGTGGAAGTTCAGTGGGGGAAAAAGACTCCTTTCAAATCCTGGCCCTGCCCTGTACTTCTCTGAGCACCAGCGACCTCATCTGGAGAATGGGATGGTAACAGTCATTGTCCCAGGGCCCCTGGGAGGATTAAACAGGTGAGCTCATGCCACTGTCCCAGCAGCTGTCCACTCCCACCTGCTTCCGACCTACCTCAGGGTGGGGAGTCCCAGACTGTGGGTCCAGGGGCCAGCAGGGGGCGTGCCAAGCATGCTCAGGGCCACAGTCAATCGGCGCCAGCACATCCTAAGTAGCCAAGTGTCCAGCTCCCACACAGAGGAGAGGAGGAGGCGACAGCCGGGGTGGGGTTGGGAGCAGGATTCAGGACCATCAAAGGGGATGTGCGGGAGTGGTCACTGGGCTTGTTTCTGTGCGTGGTGATTGATTCACCATCAAGGCCAACTGGGAACCTGGCCTGTCAGTCAATCAGCTGGTCAGTCTGTCCGTTGTTCTGTCACTCAGTGAGTCAATCAATCTGTCATTGATCGCCCATCAGTCAAGACATTCATTTAAATCAATGTGACTGGCATTCGGTAGTTCTGTCAGTCGATTAAGCTGTCGATCACTTAGTCAATCAATTGGTCTCTCATTTTAACTGAGGTAGAATACACCCACTCAACTGTCCAAATTTGCCCGTGGCCATAACCCCCTGCACACCCCAATCTTGTCCCAAGTGCCCCAGTCATCTTGATGAACTTTATATATAGCTACACGTCACTTAATGTATTCAGAGAAATGCAGCATTGGGCAGATTCCTCGCTGGGTGAACCTCGCAGAGTCTACTTAATGAGTCTAGGCCCTGGGAACCGCCATCACGTGTGTGGCCCCTGTCGGCAACCAAACCTCAAGTAATGCTCCACCATGCACCTGGTGTCACCACCACCCAGATGTGGGGAGATGTTGCCTTCCCTGCAGAAGGCTCCCTGAGGCACCTCCCCAGAGGTGACCTCCATTCAGACTCATGTCAATAAAGCAGCCTGGCCCGAGGGTCCCCCATAGGGTGAGCTCCCAGCACTCCCTAGCCTGGCTTGAGAGGACAGTGGACAGCTGTCGCCTCTCTCTGGCCACCCACGGGAGCACGGATAGCCACAGAGCAGCCCCCAAGACCCCGGGCCCCTGAGCCAGGATCTGTGGTGGTGGTGGGTATGCCAGGCAGGGAGACGACTCAGGAGCCCCCATCCCAGTAGATGCACACTCACGTGCAAACTTGCTGCCCTGCTGTTTGTCAGGCACGTTCAGGAATGTGGCTGCCTGGACCCCACCATGCAGACACACACAGGCCAGGAGCCTCACACTGGCCGCCCCCCCAGCCCCTCTTACCCGAGCCTGTACGTAGTCCCAGGTCTCCTGCAGGCTGTCCTCGTGACCGTCCCTGTACTCCCGAATGAGTTCAGTTACGATGTTGCCCATCTCCTCCTTCAGCTGCAGAGGGGACAGAAAGGATGGAGGTCAGAGCCCCTGAACCCTGCGTCCCCCCTCCAGCATCCTGGGGACACGCTCACAGTGTGAAAGCATTTCATTGTTCATTCCCACCACTTTCCAACCAGCCCCGTGCTGGTCCCCATGCTAAGCCAAGGTCTGCTGAGCCCTCAGCAGCTACATGGCCCCTCAAAGGGGAGCCTGCATGCCACGGCCTGCGACCACTATTGGGGACAAACACCCACGTCCTCCCACTGGCCCATGAGGCCCTACATCATTGGCTCCTCCTCTTCCTAGACCCCATGCTGTTCTTGCTTCCTCTGCTTCAGTTACACAGGTCTCTTGTCTGTCTTCACGTAGGCACACGCTGGCCCCAGGGCCTTGGCACCTGCTGTTCTCTCCACCTAGAATCCTCTTCCCCCACACAATGACATAATTCACTCTTCCTCTTCCTTCAGGGTCCTGTTCAAGTGTCACCTCCTCAGGAAGAACTTGCTGCACCTCCTAAACAAGGGTATCCCTTCTGTAGCCCCCACCACTCCCTCATCCCTCCCAGGCTCTCATCATGCAAAAGAACTGTTGTGGTTTTGCTCAGTGTCATCACATGCATGCTCATTTGTTTTCAGGGTGTGTGGTCTCTCTCCTCTGCTAGGGCAGCTCCGTGGGGGCAGGGACTGTCCAGAGAAGACTGTCCAGAGAGGGGCGCAGCACATGTGAGTGACGGATTTGCACGTAACCACTGCTATTTGCCACACAGTAGGGCCATATGCCTGCACTGCCGGTTAATCCATCCCCACCACACCCACCCCAGGTCACGGAGGAAGGAAGACAGTGAACTAGGCTCAGCCTCCTGCTTCCACTGACTGGGCTGCACGTCTCAGAACAGGGGCCTTTGAGACTGCAGGGGAGACACTAGGGGAAGGCCCCAAGATCCACCAGTCTGGGAGCTCAGAATCAACTTCCGTGTCCCCGCCCCCAGCACATGTGGGGGCCAGGTCCCAAGTAGCAACTGGGTTCAGACACCTTTCCATGACCTGGCTGCCAGCCCCGGGCCCCTACATCCTGACTGCGCTGGCTCCCTCCCATGCTCTGGAATTCAGGGTCCCTAGCTGAGCAACAGAGAAGCAGCTCACGTTCACTAACCCACAAAGAAAACACTGATTTACAAACAAGGAGGAGGAATGGTGCAGGGCACAAAAGAAAGTGAGCGGCCCAAGTGGGCTCTGAAGAGAGGCTGTCGCTGCCACAGCTTTTCAAGAACATGTCAGCTGTGCAACGAGGGTAAACCGGAACCAGCCTCCAGAGCTGAAAGGCAGCTTCGCCGCCCCCTCCCCTGAGAAGCCCAGGGGCTCCAGGTGGAAGAAGGGGGCCCATGAGAGCTGGTCACGGCCTGGCCCCACCTGCCCCTGCCCTCCCCCAAGGGCCCTCCCTGGCATGCTGGCACAGACCAGCTGGTGATGGTCAACTCTACAGCTGGGGGACCTGGGGCGGGGGTGGGGACAGGGGCAGGAGTACCCAGAGGGTTCATGAGAAAGCAGGGGTCAGGGGATGCGATGAAGGCCTCAGGCAGAGGCTTCTGGAGCGTGACTCTGACCCCTGAGAGCAGGCTTCCGCCTGGCCCCACAGACACCGCGAGCAAGCACTGTGCTTGGGGAACCCACATCCTCCAGACAGACCTGCTGCTCTCGCCTCATGAACCTGGGAAGCCAGCCCCGCCACCCCCAACTGCTCTCTGTTTGATAAAACTCTTAACAGGATGCTTTTTTGTTTGATTCTCACAGGCCTCTACCATTTATCAAGTTCTCCCGTCAGTGACTCAACACAGCGACTAGACTCGCGGTTGTCACTTTCAATGCATTATCTCACTTTAATCCTCAGAGCAGACCTGTGGCCTAGGGATCATGCCTTTATTTTAGAGATGGAGACAACAAGGCCCAGAGAGGTTAATTAACTTGCCCCAGGTCACACCGCCAGTATACAGAAGAAGTGAGGTGTAGACCCAGGCTTATCTGATTCCAGAACCCCAGTTTTTGCCTATTAAGTTCCATCAGCATTTAAACCACAGAACCATACCTTGAAGTAGATCAAAGTAGTTTTAAGGAGGGCCCAGAGAAGCTAAGAGATTTCCCCGTGTCACAGAGCTAGGACTCTCTGCCTACAAATCTTGGGTCTTTATGCCCCAACCATCTCAGTTCCTCCTCTGCTCCCCAGTGAGTAAAAGGTCCCAGGGGTATGGAAAGGAGTGGGGAGGGATGGAAAGTAGGGGTGTGTGGAAAGGAGGAGGGTCCCCAGAGGCATTTGCCCCAGAAGCATTTGCAGGGCCAGCCACCTGTCCCACACCCTACCTGTCCCACATCCTTCCTGTCCCCCTGCCCCGCCCCCGCTCCCTCCCCCACCCCACTAACCTAGGCCTTATTTATACCCCAAGTGGCTATCACAGCAGCCCAGACTTCTCTGTTTCAGGGAAGGTGGAAGAAGCTGGGTGGTTTCCTGAGGTTGGTGGTTTCCATGGAAACACCCTGTCATCCTCCAGCCCAGAATGTGGCTGAGGCTCCTAGTCAGGCCAGGGGGACCATGGCCACAGGGGGTGGTGCAGTGGATGCCTAGGGATCCCTAGGCCCAGGAGGCTGTGCTGGGAGCCTGGGAGGTCACCCTGGCAACCAGGTAATTCCTTAGACAAGCAAGAGCAGGGATGGGGAGCAGAAGTTCACCCTCTCACTTCACTCCGGCAGGGGCCCTCTGTGGTTTCTGCCTGCCCTGCATCCATTCTCCCTTCCTCTTGAGTTAGCAGCTTCTTTCCTTAAAGGTAACCACCCCTCGGACCCTCCCAGTAGCGGGAAGTCCTTCTCCCTTGCTGTCATGGGCAGGCAGTGACCCAAGCTACCACTCAGTGCCATCCACGCCCTGGGCACCAGTGGATCAGGGTGGGCATGTGAGCCAAGGTCACACGAGTCTGCTTTTTCTGCTAATCGGGTGGGATGAGGGCCTTAGCTGCTGGAACTGGAGGCCCCACTGGAGACTGCCTGCCTGAGAAGGGAGCCCACGGGGGAGGGCAGGGCCAAGGGAGGGAGAGGGGGAGAGTCCTGGTGGCAACCTCTGGCAAGTTGGGTCTAGCGGAGCCTGCAGCCAGCGCCAGCCAATTGCAGTTGCGTTATTGTCCCAGGCAATAAAAAGCCCTGCCCTGGTGCCAAGGGAAAATGCAGGGCCACTTATTTTTAAATGACAAAGAATTTCTAGAAGTAGCAGCAGAATAGCAAAGCAAGCAGGGCCCCTTCCAAGTGTGGGATCCTCTGTGATGGCTCCAGTCGTGTGCCTGGGAGCCAGCCCTGCCCAAGACCATCCTCCTCATTTTCCCAGAGAAGAAAACAGAGATTTGGAGAGCCAAGACAGCGCCCCAATATCACAGGAGAGCTGACGTGTGCAGAAGCCCAGGCCAAACAGTAAACCACCCACCCTCTCCACCGACCCCCCATCCACTCTCCTCCCGCTGATCTCCTTTCTCTCCGGCAACGCTGCGCTGCTCTCCCACCCTGCGGTGTGACTGCACAGAGAGGCAGAATTGGGAGAGCCCAGCCTATCATCCAAATGTAAGAATCCTTCCCAGATTTCTCCAGGCTGGATTTAAATGCTCCCTGTGATGGGGAGCTCAGTATCACCCAAGACGGCACACTACGGGATTGGGAGTCTTGATGGAAGTGATTCATCTGAAGTTCAGCCACGTGACCTTGACCCACGGCTGTTAGCTCTCATTCTTCTCCCCTTCCGGGTCCCAGCTGCTGCCATCCAGAAAAAAATCAAATCACCCCCTCCCAAGACAAACACCCTCAAGCGTATTCGAGGTCAGAGCACGCTCCCCTTTGCCCTGCCCCCAGTATCGGTTCCCTTCCCGGGCGCCTTTGACCCCTCCTTACTCTTTGATGCACCAAATGACCCTTAGAGGGAGACATGCAGAATGCAGTGTAATGGGCCCGCACATTCCCAGCCGCTCCCCGGGATCCCTCCCGACACATTGCCAGGCGCCTCCTGGCACAGAGAGCAGGTCTGAGGCGACATCCTGCATCCTGATAGTTAATGACGCCCCTGCCACGGCAAATGTGGGCAGCATGGCTCCTTCACTTAGTGACCACCCCAGCCCACCCCTAAAGCCTGGCTGCAAGCCTCATAGCCAGCTACCCAGAAGTCAGCGGGGGAGCCACATCATGCCCCCCCCCCCCAGGTAAGCTCCATGAGGGCGGGGCCTGGGCCAGGTGCCACCTCCAGCCATGAAGCCGCCCAAGCACAGTCAGTGGGTACAGGAGGGTCTCCTCCCTAGCCTCTCCAGGATCCCTTTGCAGAAGGACAGATCTATGCTTCCTGCTGCAGAGGGAAGATAAAGGCCACCGTCCCCTGTCCAGGCTCCAGTTGCCTCCCCCCAGGCTAGGAGAAACCCAAACCAGGGGTCAGGAAGTTTCCATCTGGCAGAACAGCATTATCCTGGAGAAACCCGTTTTACCACCTTTGCCATTAGGGCTGGGCATGCGGGCTACTGCTGGCTATTGCAGGCTTCTTGGGAGGGAGAAGGAGGAGGACAAAGGAAATCACAGTTCTCCCAGCCAATCCCCCTGCGGAGCCCGCAGCCACCAGGCTTAGCCACTGCCACCCTCCCCTGCCAGCTGCGACCCAGACCTTGGAACCCTTTCCCTCCAAGCTCTCAGCCCCAGCCTTCTGCTCCAGCCCTGACAGAACTTCTTCAGCCTCGCAGCCTCACCAGTGCAGGCTGATTAGTGATTGAGCACCAAGGCCCAAGCCAAGGCCGACATCCAGCAGGTTCCAGAAGAAACAATATACATTCACTTGCTTCCTTCTCACCCTCTCCCACGCCCCCACTACCTGGCAAGAACAAGTCAGAACCCCAGAGTGTCAACTCGGAATGGCCCAGGAGGTCACCCGAGACTCGGAAAGGCCAGGGAACTTGTCCCAGGCCACACAGCAATCAGTGATAGTGTGTCCTCTAGCACAGGGCCCCTGCATTTCTGACCTGGGCTATACCCACGAAGGGGGCTTGGATGAATAATCAGGTGATGAAACTGAGGGATCTTCGCACCCAAGGCCTGCTTGCCACAGCCCTCGCTAACACAAACTCTGGTGGCACTTAGGGGCCCTCCCGAGGCGGTAATGAAGTTAACAATGGTGACCTAATAAACACTTGGGGAGTTGCCAGTAACCACCTGCCCTGCCTTTGCCACAGGCCGGTGCTCTTCATCCTCACCGCAGCTCCCGGCCGTGTGCTCCGGGCTGAGAAACATGGCTAGAAGTCACATGTTCCCCGGGGACACCTCCATGGGGTGAACAAAACTCATAACCAGCCTTGCTTCCATCGGATTCGATCGTGCAGATGAGTTGCACATGGTATTTCTGGTTTTCAAAGTGTTTTTGGGTTTCAGAATTGCAGATAAGGGACAGTGGACCTATAGGGTCAACTGAGGCACAGAGCCCAAGCCACTTGCCAGGGCTCACAGAGCAGGGGTTCCGGCGTGGACAGTTCTGGAGTCGAGCCCTCGGCCACCACTCTGTATTTTACTGAAGTGTTGCAGTCCGTGCTCATGCAACCCTCTACCTCAGGGGGGACCTGATTGGTTTCTTCTCTTTAGTTCACAGTCTGAGAACCCAGAGCTTGGCCCAAGGCCCCCCAGCCTCCCTGGACAGCCCTAGAAACAATGGCTGAGGAGAGCTGGGGCAGGAAGGCCAGATAGTAGCCCTGGAGTCCAGCTGCGGGAAGAGCCCAGGGCTCGATCCCTCCCCCTGCCCAGGAGGCTGGGAGAGTGGGGAAAGAGCAGCCCTTGGTTTTCAAAAGGCCTTTTTCCTTCTGGCACAGACAGGCCCCGCCTCCCAGCTGGGCCTCATCTGCGGGATAAACACCAGCGAGGGTGTGTTTAGTCTCCCACAGGGTTTACAATATAAGGGGAAAGGAAAAATAAATCGTTCATTCCAACTCTGGTGATAGCGTGGCGCCAGAACTTCCCCAGCAAAGCCAGGAAATTTCCCCCTGCCTTCCAGAAAAGGAGGTGAGCCAAGGAGAGGGGGCTGGGGGCCAGGGGTGCGGGAAGTGGAGCCTGGAAGGGGGGCAGAGGAGGAGCCCAGTGGGGCAGGGAAGACCGTCTGGTATAGAGTCAGGGGAGCTGTTTCTCTGGATGAGCCCTGCCCTGGGGCCGTAGGACTCTGCTGAGGTCCAGCGCCTGCGGTCTGCCAAGCAGAGATGACCCCAGCTCAAAGGGAGGGAAGAGGGACAGACGAGGCATGGACCTGGGGAGAGGGATCGCTGGAAACCTCCACTCTGCAGCATCAGAGCCCCACGTGACCCTGGTTAAGCCACTTTGGTTTTCTGGACCTCGGTTCCTTAAGCTGGGAAATGTCAACCAAACTGTGTATCAAGTTACTGGCTCAGCTCTTGGCATGCGGCTGGCGTCCATTACATGGGTGCCATCTTTGTTACTGGGAGATGGGAAAACACTCACAGTGGGTGAAATGGTGGTCTGGCCAAGACCCCAAAGTGGCAGAGTTGACCAGATGCCAGTTCCTAGGAGCCAGTTCCCCAGGACTCTTATTATCCACCCTGACTCTAAGAGCCACTGACTGGGTCCCAGAGGAGCCCCAGATTTTCGAGGGCAGAAGTGAAGACGTGATCTCACAACCCTTCTAGTGGGAAATGAGTTTCACTCCCCTAACACTGGCTTCCTGCTCATAGCCTAGCGAGTTTCCTTTCATGTACTGAAACCACTATTTCCCCCTTTTGTCCTGGCTGCCAGGAAGCTCAGTCTTCAGGTTATCCCTCAGCTGCCATGAGTATTTCTTCCCTTGGTTTCAGCAACCACGACCTTCCTCTCTCACTGTGCATTCTAATCACTCTCATTTTAATTTTAGCTACGCTGTGCCTATATTGGAAGCCAGCTCCAATTCTAAGAAACAGGTTGGGTGTGCATTATATGCAAATAAAGTAGATTCAGCTAGGAAGCCAGGCTGCCTGGGTTCAAATCCTGGTTCTGCTACTTCGTAACTCTGTGACCTTTGGCCAAGTTGCTAAGATATCACATGCACATAGTGAGTGCTCCATGAATGATAAAATTGACGGTCATAATCAACTGGCTCCCTTTTCCCTTAGGCCTCTGTCTTTAGAGTCTGAAAGCTGGACACTTCCTTTCTCAGTCTCCCTTGAAGCCAGAGCTACCTTTGTAACCCAGTCTGGAGAAGACTGATGGAGAACTTGCTTTTCTGATAAAATGTCTGTGCTAGCACTGCCTTATTCCTCTTCTTCTAGCCACTGCATCACAGATGCTGTGTGTGGTGCTGTGGCAGCCACCTTGTGACCATGAGGTGAGGGGTGTGATATAGGAATGGCACGATGAGCATGTTGGATCGCCTAAACCAGCGTCTCTGAACTTTCAAACCCCGTGCTGGTGCAGTCCACAACAAACGTCCTTAGAGTTCAAGCCACAGTACATCTGATTTTCTATTCCTTAAAGCTGAATACCTTTCCCTCTGACACAGGACTAAAGCTTTTATTGACTGTCTCCTCCCTGGGCCTCATTGTGTAGATGAATGGCAGGGATTTAATATTACTAAGGTGCCTTAATAATAATGAGAACAACAAACAAGTACTGAGCCCTCATGGTACCAAGTGCTGTGCTAAGTGTTTCACTAGGATAATCTCACCAAATCCTTCGAATGGCCCCGAGAGTTCAATTTTATTACTGTCTTCAGTTTGCAGAAGGTGAAACAGGCACAGAGAGGCAGGTGGTTTCCCCGAGCCACACAGCTGGGCAGTGGTGGGGCACAGCAGAGATCCAGGTTCAGCAGCGACTCTACCCCACACACTCCTTTCCCCTCCAAAGATCCCCCATTTGATCACAGGGAACAGGGCACTGCTCTGGCGCTTACTGGTGTGTCTGTGACAACTAAAAGGCCTCTTGTCTATCCCCTGCCTCACCCTGCCCACTGGGAAAATCCCTCTGTGTTCGCTGGTCCAGCCATGGGGGAGGGTCTTACCTTGCCCATGCTAAAGTAGAAAATAGTCCCAGCAGCCACCTGGGCGATGAGGATCAGGAGGAGGAAGGTAAAGTACTGAGGACACAGAGAAGGCACAGTCAGTTGAGGGTCCCCCACCAGGGGCACCCATACCCCTCACCTCAGATGCCCCCTCCCAGCAGGGTCCCGGGTGTAGTGGCAGGGGGTACACTCACCAGCCCCAGCAGACAGCGGACCTCCCTGACAGCCCCGACGCAGCCCAGGAAGCCCATGAACATGGTGACGCTGCCCACGCCAATGAAGATGTAGGCCCCCACATTCAGCGACCTGGAAGATTCTGCAGGGAGGAGAGAAGCGCTGTCTGTGCGGCCCAGTGGCTTCACTCTCATTAAGCACAAAACCACCAGTGGGGCCCAATTTTCCAAGAGTACACCGACATCCCCTCCGTGGAGTCAGGGGTGCTGGGGAAGCCACCCAGCCAGGAACCTGCTGCCTCACCTTTTTTGGAAGGTGCCTTCCCTGGATGCCACCCACCCCCATCTACCCTAACCCCCACCGTGCTTCAGTGTTTCTCCTTGGCCCTTACCAGGATTGAAAAGATCCTATGTCTTTGGGTTTTATTTTGCTCATCGTCTCCCACCCCAAGAATATGAGCTGCACAAGGGTGGAGTCTTTGGTCCCTGCTGAACCCCAGCCCCGAGGACAATGCCAGGCATAGCCAAGGGCTGCATGAATATTTGCTGAGTTAACACACCATGACTGGCAGGTCCTGCTGGACGCCAGGCCCCGAGGGCCCACCTTCCACTTTGTCAGCCTCTCTTGCCCACCTGCTGTGCCCCAGTGGCTTCACACACACCATCACCAACCCTAACACAGCTCTGCCTAGTAGGTGCTAAAACAGCCCATTGCAAGGATAGGGAAACTGAGGCCCAGAGAGCAGCACTGGCAAGGGCCAGAGCTGGGAGCTATCTAACGGCGTGTGTCTTCCACGAGGCTCAGAGCACACATAGTGACATGGGAGTGACACTTGTTCATTTATTGGGTCAACAGAGATCTTACCAGGTGCCTAACACAGGCCAGGCACCATGCAGGCTGCTGGGCACACATGAGTTGGACAGATAAAGTCCCCCACCGGGTAGCTAACACTTGGCAGGGAAGAGAGTGGGATAAGGAAACAATCCAGATTTTCAGGTTGTGATAAGGGTCCTGAAGATGCCAAAGCTGGCCCATGGGATCAGAAACTCTAGGGCAGGCAGCGGGTTGGGGTGGTGGGGAAGGCTGGTCTGAGCAGGAGACAGCTGAGCTGAGAGGACAGTGGAGAAGTCAGTCAGGTGGAGATCCGAGGGAAAAGCAGTTCAAGCAGTAGAACAGCAGGTGCAAAGTAAGCCAGTGTACAATAGCCCCCCTTATTCTTGGTTTCACTTTCTGCCCTTTCAGTTACCCACGGGCAAAGCGAGTTCTGAAAATATTGTGTATAGTAAGCTATTTTGACAGAGAGAGGACATTCACATCGCTTTTATGAGTATGTTATTATAACTGCTTTTTTCAATTCATTGTTGTCAATCTCTTACTGTACCTAATGTATGAATTAAACTTTCTCATAGGTAGGCATAGGAAAAAGTACATTATCTATGGTGTTTGGGACTATTCTTGGTCTCAGGCATCCATAGGGGTCTTAGAATGAGAGTCCCCTGTGGATAAGTGGGGGCTATTTGTATGAAGTAGGTGGAAAGAAGGGGACAGAGAGTGGGCCAGTGTGGGAAAGAAGTTTGAAGGTGGTGATGCTTGAGAGGTAGAGAGAGCCCGATGGCAGGAGACCCTCTTCAGGGTCAGAAGTCCTGCTGGAGAAAGGACCAGCATTTCCCAAGAATTCCCAAAGTTCAGAGAAGCTGAGGACTCCATGCCAGCCACAGAGGGGGCGTTAGCCACTTCAGGTCACCAAAGTATGGGTGCATAGGAGGGCGTGATCCAGCTCTACTTCCTGCTCAGACAGAATGTTCTAGAGCTCAGGAAGCAACCCGGCCAGCTCATCCCACTCTCTGGGCACCAGGGCAGAGTTGCCCCCGCCTTGTTCCTCCCAGGAACCCTGAGGAAACCAGGCAGAGCCCCCACTGGGGTGAGCATGAGACCTCCTGGCCCTGGGCCCACCTTTCATTCCAGGCCCTGGGATCTGGCTCTTAGCAGTCAACATGGGCAGGGAGAGGCCTTCAAATTTCACTTTTCCTAAACTTCCTGGTTTTGGGATCCAACAAATCCTCCCAGTGCCTACGCCCTCAGAAAGAGAGCTTGCATTTCCTGGCAATCTGCTGTGTGCCAGGCCGAAACAAGACCCTTTATGGGAATGGTCTACCAAAGTTCTGAAGAGGGTGAATTTATACTCTGATTTGCCCTAACGGGTCCAGGAGCTAAGCTGACTGCCAAGGTGCCCAGCAGGTCAGGCCCCAGGGCTGAGAACCCCACCAGGATCCTCCCCTGGAGGCCAATCAAGTTGCTGGGTCCCCCACTTCATCAGAGCCGGTCCCTGTACTCACCCCAGTCTCAGGCCTGACCCAGATCTGAAAGGCTGACTTAGGGGGGACAAGCCCATCCACTGCACATGGCACAGATCTCTGGGCCTCACTGGGTTGAGCAAACTGAATGGGACTGGGGACCACGAGAAGTGGGTTCTAATCCCAGCTCTGCAACTAACATGTTCTGGCCCTGGACAAGCTGTTTGCTGAGCATCTACTTTCTTCTCCTACTTCATAAAGATGTTACAAGGATTGAAGCTATTCTAACTGTATTGAACAATCACCTAGGTAGTGCTGACTATTCACCAAGAGCTGTCCTAAACTCTTTTCAGATATTAACTTGTCTAATTTCTCACAACCACCTCACAAGGTGCATCCTATCACCACATCCCCATTTGACAGAGTAGGAAGCAGAGAGGTGAAGTAAGCTGCCCAAGATCACACAGCCAGGAGTCATACTTAGCAGTCCCGAATCTGGGTTCTTTGCTACTATGCTTGCTTCTTTTTATTTACTGTTTAAAAAAAAAATTTTAAGATTTATTTATTCATGCGTGCAAGAACCAGAGTACAGGCCAGATGTGTGGGAGGGTGAGAGGATTCACCAGAGACAGAGCAGGAAACAGAACAGGCAGACTGACGGAAACACACTGCTGAGGGGAGCAGCGGGCGTGACAGGAGAGGTCTGCCGCGCTATGTGGGTATCTCCCTGGCCAGCTGGGATGGTACCCGTGCTGCAGAGGCTGCGGACAGCTTCATGGTGCTGCACTCAACCGCCTGTGCCACCAGGGAGGCCGGCTTGCTTCTGTTTACTGAGGCATGAACACATGTCAGGCCACAAACCCCGGCTGTGCAAGGGTTCAGGGACTGGGGTCTCAGGAGCATGTCACTGGTTCACATTCCAGTTCCCAACCTGCTGGCTGTGTGCGCTCAGACAAATCACTGACCCTCCCCATTCCCTCCATTGTAGTGCCCAGCCCCGTGGATGCACAGTAAAGATTCGGCTGGGCGAGAGAGGGGCCGTACCACACAGTCCAGCACATAACAGGTCAGGAGCCCTGGTTCCCAGCTCTGACCCTCACCTGCTGGGTGACTCTCAGCAAGGTTTTCCCTCTGAGCCTCAGTATACCGGAGAGCAGAGTGACTGTGCTAGCATCTGGGTGTTTCTGAACCCTACTGTCCTGGGGAACCACCTGGGAACTTTTCCAAAACTATATGCTCCAGGGGCCTCCCTAGTGGCACTAGGGATTAAGATGCAGCACTGTGAAGCTATCCGCAGCCACTGCAGCAGGAGTTCGATCCCCGGCCTGGGGGTGACATACGTGGTGCAGCAGACTTCTCCTGACTTGCCTGCTGCTCCCATCAGCAGTGTATTTCAGTAAGCCTGCCTGTTCTATTCCCTACTCTGTCTCTGGTGAACCCTCTCAGCCCCCGCATCTCTGGCCTGCACCCCAGTGCTTGTATGCATAAAAACAAAAAAAAAAAAAAAGCTGAATGCTCCAGAGCTCACCCATGCCAGTGAGGTCAGATTCCTTGGGGGTGGGGCCTATAAAAGGCACCATGGGTGCATCTGAGGGGCCTCTGAAGTCTGGCCAACTTGGGGTTTTCAGATCTGAACATGGAGGCGGTGGGAGGAGCAGCAGGTGACTGGAGCCATGGAGCTCGGGTGCAGAGGGCAGAGTGTGGGTGGGCAGGCCTGGCCTTGAGACTTTGCCCTGTGAAGCAGTGCCTGCTGGGCGTGGGCCATAGCCCAGTAAGGGGGGAGCCTGCGTGTTATCAGGGCCCAGGAGGGTGTGCCCCATATTGGGAGGGTGTGGGGAAACTGGGCACCTGGCTGAGGCAGGGCACACAGATCTCTGGCCACAGAATGGGGGTGCAGTCTGCTGCCCCCTAGCAGAAGCCAGCACTGTCAGCCCTGGGCCACATGGATGTGGCTGGATCCATTTAGTTCTAAGGGGAGGCTGACCCCTTGGGTCCCAGGAGACAGGAGCTGCTCCTCCCACCCCCATCCTAGCCTGGCTCTGTTTTATTCAAGTCAGGCAGCTGCATGGGCCTGAGACTAACCTGCACTGAGGCAGCTGCCCAGAGGTGAGCCAAGGACACACTCACTAAAGGGGGTGGCATCACCGTGCAACTTGGGGTCCTCCTCTCTCAGGGTATCCCTGACAAGTCATGCAGCAAGCCTGGCAGGCTTCCTGGAGACAGTGATAGATCCGAAAGCACTCTTATATCTAACAGCGTGGGCTTCATTTCTCCTGCTTCTGAAGAGAATGAAAAGGGGTGTCTCCGTTTGGCTCCATGCCCCTACCACCAAGACGCTGTGTGAGCCTGAGCAGGGGCCTCCCCTCTTCAGGGCCTCATTTCCACATTTGTAAGGCAGGGACCTGACTGCCACAGGTAGTAAGACAATTGAGGTATGCAAATGCTCGCCCCCTGCCGGGCACCTAAGGAACTCCACCAATGGCAGGACCCAGGCCCGCCCACCTTGCCCTGCAGGCACATAGGAATATCAGTGCCAGACCATCCACTGGGCGGGCCCTTCCCTACAGCTCTCAGAACTAAGAACTAAGAGACCATTTCCCGCATTTTGTTGAACTGGTAAATGGAAGGACCAATAATAAAAATGTTTTCTTGGGCCTCCCTGGTGGTGCAAGGGGTTAAGCACAGCACTGTGAAGCGATCCACAGCCTCTGCAGCATAATTTCTATCCCTGGCCAGCCAGGGAGCTACCCACATGGTGCAACAGACCTCTCCAGTCTCACCTGCTGCTCCCCCCAGCAGTGTATTTCAGTCAGTCTGCCTATTCTGCTCCCCACTCTGTCTCTGGTGAATCCTTTTACCACCCTGCATCTCAGACCTGTACCCCAGTTCTTGTATGCATAAATAAATAAATCTTTTTTTTTTTTTAAAAAAAGATGTTTTCTCAAGGTCAGCACTAAGGGAAGGGGCCAGGATGGAAGAACTAGGCTCCCTCATCCCCCAGTGTTCTTTCAAAAAGAACAGCTTTGTTTGGGAAGAGAGAAGAAATTCCTTCCAGAATCGTCTGTAGAGGGGCCCATGCGGAGTGGTCAGCAGTAGGAATAGGTGAAGGCCCCAAGGTCAGCTGGAATAGTGACCAATTTGACTTGGAGGTTAAAGGACTGTGGGAGCTCAGCCTGTGCAGAGCTCTGCAGGGGCAGGGGGAGCAAAGGGATTCTTACGCAGGATGGCGACAAAGCTGCTCTTGTCGGCCAGGATCCACACCCCAAAGCCCAGGATCACGGCACCCAGGATCTGGAAGGAAAAGCAGGAAGTTAATGGGGGCCCTGAAAATAAGTAGGTGAGGGGTGAATCCCCGCTGTCCCTGCCAGGCCAGGGAGACCTAAGGGAGCTACCTCTACCCTTCCCCAGCCCAGGGATGTCAAGGTAGCTTCAGGCTTCAATTGAACCCCACTCCCAGAAAACCCCAGCAATCCAGACAGCTGAGCCACATATGGGGAGCCCTGCCTGCCTCCCATGCCCAGGTAGTCAAACCAAGTCTACTGACTTTAAGGGGTGCAGCCTCCTGCCAGGGGCACCCTCCTACTTCATCTACTGCCTATCCCTTCCATCCAGCCCCAGCTGGTGGACTGAGTGTCACACACAAGCTCAGAGGAAACCCCTCCATCACCTCGAACATTAAAGCCCACTTGTCCTTCAGAGCTAGCCTCCACCTTATAGAAACCTTCCTGACCCCCTCAAGCAGACTAAGGGGATCCCACTCCCTGGCAACCACCATCCAGCCCTTCTTAGCAGCCATCCCTGCTGAGTTTAGCTTTGCCGTGGGGGTCTCTGAGTAGACTGTGAGCCCCTAGAGCAGGCTGGGTTGCATGTAGCTCTGTATCCCTGGGTACCTGGAGCTCAGGTGCTGAGGGTGCAGGGAATGACTGAGTTCACGAACCCAACTATGAATGCAGGAGTAGGAAGGTAAATAAAGGTATGGAGGATGGCAGGCGTTGGCCCAGCAATTCCCCACCATCCTTCCCTCCACCAGGGGTACCCACTACCTGCGCCACCTCTCCAGGTGGAACACACCCTGACAATTCCCGAGGCTGGGAAGCACCTGCAGTCTGGGTGAAGGCAGAGGTTTCCCTTAGGGGTGGGAGGCCCTCCGTGATACCTGACAGGGCACCTGGCCTGGGCCCACCTGGGAGATCTCCTGTTTTGAGGGTCCCGTCCTGTCACTATCCCACCTCTATGGCAAGCACAGGGTCCCCACCTCATCTGATAATCTCAGGTGCAAGGCCAGCGGCTGCAGAGCCAGGCCTCAGACTGGGTGACACCAGCCCAGGGTTGCGGTCAGCCTGTCGCTGCTGTGATCAAGACCTGAGCCAAGGCCTGTGCGAGGGGAGAGGGGTGTTCGCCTCAGGCATAAAAATGAAGGGAACACCAAAAACTCTGACCAAGGTAAATAAGAGTTTCCAGTAATTGTTTTTAAAAGTCAGAATTAGTGGGAAAAAATCCTTATGAACAAAACATCCAATTTCTAAATAAAGGCAGGATCTTTCCTTTTGAAAGGAGCAGACCCTCAATATGGTGCAGGGCCGTTTCTGACTGAAGTTAGCACCTTATCACTGCTCCCTACTCCATACCCCCTAAAGACAGCAGCCGGTGACCTCGAAGATGAAGGGGTGATGCCATCTATCATCCTCCACTGTCTCCCTGGAGCTCACCCCTCCTTCCCTCACTGCCTGTCAGATGGGCTAAGACATTTGTCCTAATTTTACAAATGGGGAAACTGAGGCCCCAATCTTGCCCAATTTACCCTTCAGAGACACAAAGCCAGGTCTGTCTATGAATCTAGGCCAGATGGTGGCGCGTCAACTGCGGGGATGCACAAGATCCATCCTGGGCCTCGACCTCCACAACCAGTCTCTGGGGACAGGAAGGCCACTAACAGGTGGTGGGGGGCAGAGAAGGGTCCTCCCTTGGGCTGGGGAGCCACAGACAGCACAGCTGAGAGGAAGGCAGGCTTTATAGGACCTGGAAGTTTGGTTCTAATACCCCTGAGCCCCTGCCCACCCCGGCCGTACACCTTACACCACAACAGCAGGCCAAGACCCAGTCGTCAGGCTGCTTCTCACCCCAGAGCCCCTGACCTGCTCAGACCTGCCCTCATGGCATCAGGGAGTACAGCCTTTCCAAAAACAGAATTTGAGGAAGGGCAGAAAATTCCCTCTGGGCAAATAATCCCAAGTAGGTCAAAATCCCGGACTGCCCAGCTAAACTCAAGCTCCCCTCAAGAAACCCAGGAGGGAAGTCCCTGGTGCTGCCCGCTCAGCCATCTGGGGTGGGTGACAGTGGGTGGGGTTGGAACAGGACGCTGGCTGGGCCAGGTGGCCGACCACACTGGGGGAGGCACCATGGACCTCCATGCTCTATAAACCATGCTGAGGCCTCAGGGGACACCCCATGTTGACCACCCCCAGTCCCTGCAGGATCTCCTGACAGGGCAATGCCAGGTGCTGGGACCTTCACAGCCAGTGGCCAGGGCCCAGCAGCCTCTGGGTCACTTCAGACCCAAGGAAAGCTGCTGGGGCAATTTTCCGGGGAGTCTAGAGTGTGGAGGGAGTGTAGGCAAGGGCGGATGGAGGCACACGCGTGCAGGTGCAAGCCCACAGAGACCAGGGTGATTTTTCCAAACCACAAATCTGATGACAGAACCTCTTTCTACTGGGTATTAAAAAAAAAAAAAAAAAAAAGCTCAGAAACCTCTCTAGAAAGCTGCACGCCTGTGCCCTGGAAAGGCACCTCTGCCCCATGCCCCAGCTGCCCGGACCCTCTCTCTACCCAGTCACACTCCAGTCCAGGAAGCTTTTGCTGACCAGCCCGACAAAGTCAAGTATCTTATCTGAGCTCCTAGAGGCCATGCCTGCCGTTCCCAGTCCTAACGTGAAGGCGAGTCTATCATCCATTTGAGCAAGTATTGGATTGAAGACCCCGCCCCAAAACGCCGAACATAAGCGCCGTGAGTGCAGACAGCACAGCTCTTCTGCTGGGGAACATCTACCCAGGCCTGGGCCCGAGAACAGAGTCTGAACGCAGAGATGTCAGATACATCCCCCGTGAATGATGACCTGACAAACACTGTTCCTTGTACTTGTTCCCCTTCCCCCCTCACCCTCCTGTAATAAAAGCCACCCCATCCCTCCACCCCACCCCCACACCCCACACAGCCTGATGGGCCAGCACACAGGGGCCTAACACCTGGCTCCTGCAGCAGCCCAGGAGCCTTCCCTGTCTCTGGCTCTGGAGGGCAGTCTGGGGAGGGGGGCAGCAAGGGGCACTTTGGCCCAAACCATCAACCTGAATCCCTTTCTCCTCCAGACTTCTACCCGCTCCCTCCCACTCCCTTTCTCCACCAAATCTCTTGCCCCTCCTTCCCACTGCATGAGGGGAGATGAGGTGCCTGTGTCCATGAACCCCAAGCCCCCCACCTCCTAGGCTGTGGCCCAGACCCCTCTCTGTGCCTAGAACTCCCAGGTAATGAACCACAGCGTTCCCGTGCCCTGTGCCGGTCCTGGCCAGCTGGCCCTGGAAGCCTGGCCTCCACCTGTTAGGGAAGGCTTGGCTCCGGCGCAGGGACAGCTGCTTGCAGAGGCTTGAGTCAGCCGGAAGGGACCCGACCACCAAGCCGGGGAAACCCAGGTGCCCAGGGCCTCCCTGAGGTGGCTTCCAGGCCTGGCTGCCCTCCATAGAGGGCCAGAGCCACAGCCAGGGCTCAGGGAGGGAATGGGGCTGCAGCCAGGGTGGACATACAGCAGGACAGACAGACACTGGGCTGTCCAAATGCATGCGTGTACATATATGTGTATGCATATGCACTGTATCTGTGTGTGCCGGGAACATGTGTGTAAGTTTCTGTGTGTTGGGTTAAAGTTGCAAGGTGCATGATTATTAGAATAACTATTTTCCAAACTTTCTATTACTTTATGTAACTTGGAATGTAAAACCATATTTTTCCGTAAGTAACTTATGTCTATTGTAGAAAATTTTAGAAAAGGCAGAGAAGCAAAAAGAAGAAAACCAGAATTCTCTGGAATCCCAACTCTAATGCTCAGAGGTATTTTCTTTTCCTCTCAAAATTATTCAAGTATAGGTGCATTTCAAAAACAAATTAGATCAAAATAAACATCTTATTGTATGAGCTGATTTTTAACGGTGGAGGTAAATCAACACCATGGACAAGCCACAGCACCAGCTCTCCAAGTCACCCTCACTCCAACCCCATCTCACACATAGGCACACTCACACACACTCACACACACTCTAACATACACACAAATAATTACATATGACCACACATACACTCACGCTCTCAACATGCCCACAGACACAGACATATACACTCACAGCCTGACACACTCACGCTCTCTCTCTGTCTCATACTCACACACACACACACAATCCATCATCCTGGCAATCCTGAGGCAGGAGTCAGGCTGTGCTGCTCCAGAGAGGAAAATTGAGGCCCCAGGAAAACCAGCTCCAGATGTGGCGCTTCCTTCCCGACAGCCCAGGGATGGGGCTGGTGGAGCCCACGAGGGCGGGTCTGGAAACAGGCATGATCCCCCTCCCCTGGTCCACAGCCCAGGCGCCTTGTACCTACCTTCTAGGATTTGGGGGATAGTCTCTACAAGGGGGGGCAGGTGGTCTGAGATCCAGAACCGTTACAGGCAGGTTCTTCAGGGGCCAAGACAGAACATAAAGGACTGTGGAGGTTTCCCAAACAACTCCTCATTGATGAGTAAGGGGACAGGGGGCCCCCAGGGGCCTCTCGTCCTCCAGCTCATCTCCAGCCCTGACTGGCCTGAGTGTGGGCCAGGGCCTGGATGATCCAGGAAGGGGCAGGCCGCTAGAGGAATCTGGAGCTTAGAGGAATCTGGAGCTCCGGCAGGGAGCCAGCTAGAATTCGGGAAATCTCCTGCCCCTGCTCTGTTCCATTTGGAATGGTCTGTTCCCAGCCACGTTCCACCACCATCCCCAGGCCTGGGCCCTGGAGGCCTCAGCTGGGATGCCCAGGAGGACAGTCTCTGTTGGAAGTGGTCGGTGGCACTCGTCATACTTACAAAGAAGAGCAAGTTGAAGAGGAAGAGAAAGTATTTGGTGATTTTGATACAGGCTGAGCCCATCCTGCCGGTCCTGGAGCTCCCTGGGATGAAGAGAGAAGGCAGGTAGGTCAGCACAGGGCAAAACTGGGTTGGGATAGGAAGGGGAACCAATCAGAGGGCCCCAGATCATCCCAGCTGGCCTTCACAGCAACCCCATGAGGTCGGTACTAACACTGGTCCTGTCTTACATGATCTCCCAGCCCAGAGAGGTTAGATGACTAACTCAAAGTCACATAGCAGGGAAGCGTGGCCCCAAGGGCCCTAAGCTGCTTGGTGCTTGACAGCCAGCCACCCAGAGCTGCAGTGGCATCAGGTAGGTGTCCTCAGGCTCTGAAGCTGCCCAGATGGACTGGCTGGGAGGTCAGGAAGACAGTGAGTGACACTAGGGTCCCAGATAGGGAGCAGAGACCTGCAGATTCCAGCTGGGGCCAGGGGCCTGGGGAGAGGGCGAGTCTGGCTTCTCAGAGGACAAACTGAGAGCTCTCTTGGCCTCCTTAGTACAAAGGGGAACAAATGCACGTTGTAGAACATCCAACAAAAACAGAAAAACACAAACTGAAGAAAAGTTTTATCTCACCCCAGAGATAAAACAACTGTCATCATTTTAGCAGCTCCACTTCCAGCGTGTGTGTGTGCGCGCAGCAAATGGTTTGAAACAAAAGCAGGCTCCTTTAGAACAGATAATTCGTAACCTGCTTCTTTCCTTCCACAATGTGCCATCTGTTTGCTGATGAAATGTTCTCTCCAGCATAGTGGTACACATTGCATAGGATTCCGTGCCATGGGTTGGTACTTATTAACAATCTGGGGGGCGATCACAGACTCCCCCAGAACAGATTCCCCCAGAAAATCACACATAGGTAGGTAGCCTTTTGTAAATAATTTCTGGGGTTTGTGGGCCCCAGGAAGCCTATTCAGCTACCCACAAGGACCCCAGGTAAAAGACCCAGATAGAGATATTACCAGAAAGCTTTTAACCCATGTTTTGATTGGACACCCAGGTTGTCTCCAATTTTTCAGTCGCCCCAGGTGACACTCTGTGTGTCTGAAACAGCACCACGTTTGAGCTCCCTGTGTCCCTCCACACGGGAGGACCCCAGGCCAGGGCAGGACTGGAGGAAGAGGGGTGCTGGAAGCTGGCTCCCTCCCCACTCCCTGAGGCCGCACAACCAGAATGACAATGGCCAGCCTTCAGGCCCTGTGGGCCCAAGGGAGTCAGCTCAGCAGCTGGGGCCAGGACAGCTGGCCATGGACAGCTGCGTGGGCAGCGCTGGGCACCGGGAAGAGGGGGCAAGCAGGCACCAGCCTAGCCTCATTCCTACTGCCTCCTGGGGGGTAGGGGCAGAGCACAGAGTGGAGGGAATGGGGGCAGGAGAGTTAGGGTTCTGTGGGCTTTACGTCTTCCTCTTCCGGCAAGGGTAAAGGCAGTCCTAATCTTTCACATCTCCCCCGTCCATGTGTAGTTCCGTCGCTCTCCTCTGGGCATAATAGAATCTTCTATCTTCCTTGCCAAGAGAGAGATCAGCTGTCACTCCCCACATGCCAGTGATGGGGGTGGGGTTGGGGGGGAAGCATCCCAGGGCTCTAGTTCAGTTTCCTGACATCTTTGGTAGAGAAAGTTTCCTTTAGCTGCTTTTCTGTGGGTCAGACAGAAGCAAAGCCCCCACAAGAAGGGAAGGGCTGCCTGGGTGATGGGGAGCCCCTGTCACGGGTGGACAGAAGCCAAGGCCGAACACAGGCAGGATGGTGCTCCGCGCAGAGCTGACGCTGAATGGTCCAAGGCCTGGGTCTGAGAACACAGAGGGGGGTACTCAGGACCTGCTCCCGACCCAGAGAGGGGAAATTAAGAGCTCCCCCAGGTCAGGACATCAGAGATCTGCGATCCCCAGCCCAGGCCTGGCAAGTAAGTCCTGCCAGGCTATCTCCACCTAAAGGTTTGTCTTGTCTCCCCTCCTGGCACAGCCCACAAACACTTCATGAAGTTTTGTGGAATGAGACAGCAGCAGCAGAGGAAAGATCCTCTCCCCGGAGCAGAGCGAGCCAGGGAGACATGCTTTTCTTTCCTACCTTCAACCTGCAGTGCTTGGGCCTGGCCGAGTCTCTTCCTGGCAAAGACACGCCTGGGAGTGACACGGGGGAGTGACCAGCTCGGGGCAAGCCTTCACTTCGCTCATCTACATTCCAACATGTGAGCAGCCTAGGGCCTGTGTCTTGTGAAACTGGAGAAGTGTGGAAACAGTCCTTTGGCAGCTGCGCCAGCAGGCCGTCTGCTCCGTTCCACAGAAGAGGGGAAGGGAGTTTCTACACCTTCCGGCTCCCATATCCTCTGCTCTGGCTTGACTGGGGGTGTTCCGAAAAGGGCAGTTTTCAGACAAGTGTAAACAGGAGGCCTGCCCAGGGAGAAGGCGTGCGCACCCAGCTAGGAAGGCCCCCTCTCTGGGCAGCTACTCGCAATCCTCACAACCAGCCTGGAACATGGGGACTCCCATCCCTGGGGGTCCCTGGAGGCTCAGAGAGGTGACGTCACTTGCCCCTGTCACACAGTCAGCAGGGAGGGTTTCCAGAGCACTGAGATCTTTCATGGTGAAGCGCGCCTTTGGGGATTGTATAAAGGGATGTCTGGGGAGGGCTGGACTCCGTTGTTCAATGAGGCAGGGACTGCCAATGTGGCTGCTCTGAGGAGCTCTGGCCTGCTGGTAACAAGGAGACTCAGGCTGCTGGACTGGTATCCCCAACACCCTAGACCCTGGGCAACCTCATAGGTTTCTCGGCACAAATTGCACCAGGCGTTAAGTCAGATCTTAGGCATCAGAGGCATTGAGGGGCAAAGGAGCTTGCCCAAGGTCATGGTACAGGGCTGGGTACCTGCAGCTGCCTGGCAACTGAGGCCACTCCATCCTCATCAGGGGGCAGCGGGGAGGGGGAGGTGTGTGTGTGGGGGGGGGAGTCCAGATGCTGGAACAGGAGCCCGGCAGCCCCACTGGCAGGCAGCTTGGCCAATCGGGATGGGCGCAGAGGCTACCTGAGAACCATATAAGGGAGAAAAGGGTGCCAGACCAGAGCCTGGGATGGGCAGCTCCAGGGCACATTGGCCCAGATCTAGGAATACAAAGTCTTTCTGCCCTACAAGTGCAAACATTTCTACCCGCTGTGGCAGGAACAATTCTCTACACTCAGCAAAAAAGGAGCAGGTCCATGTAGAGCAGAGGTAGCTCAGGCTGGGAACATACCCAGCTCCGGTATAATGGGGTGTGGAGTCAAGTTCAGGGTGCCCACAACCCCAACAAGCCTCAGGAGATCCCAGAGTTGGATTAGAAGGGCCCGGGGTTACATTCAAGCTCCGCCCTCCCCCACTGTAAGATCTGAGCCTCAGTTTCTTCATCTCAGATGGAATAAGACTTGAGGTAGGGCAGGTGGACCAGGCAAGGCCTGTGGATCAAATCCAACTCACTGCCTATGCCTCACAAGCTAACAGCAGATTTTACATTTAAAAGTAATTTGGAAAAAAGTAAAAAGGGGAATATTTTGTAACACATGAATTTCACATTTTCAACATTGCTCAAGAAAGCACACAGCCACGCCCACCGGCCTCTGCCTCATCCGTGGCAGTTTCAATAGACCTTTGGGTCCACAAAGCCAACATTTACGGCCTGGCCCTTTATGGAGGAAGCTTGCCAGCTCCTGGGGTGGGGATCAAATAGTGCCCACAAAAGTGTCTGTCAAGGCGCAAAGGTCAGGACTGCCTTGCGCTGGGGATCCTGAGGGAACTGGAGGGACAGGAGGGAGAGGACACAGGACTCCTGCGCAGGACTTCAAGGACAGGCCCTGCCCCTAAAGCAGGGACTACGGGGTTTTGATCTCCCACCCTGCAGAGTGGGCCCCCCAGTGAACCCACTATAAAGAAAAAGCTTGAGGGCAGCACCCAGTGAGGTCAGAGTGCATGGCTGGAGTTGGGGAGTGTCTGCATCATCCCCATTGGCTCAGCACTCGCAGAAGGAGGGAGGGCGGCCTTTAGCTTGCAGATGAAATGAAACAGAGACAAAGAGAGCTAGAGCTGCCTTTTCTTGTGTGTACTTTCCATAAACACTGGAGGGGCCGCGTGTTTTCCTGTGAGGGTGTGTTAACAGCCACCAAGTCAGGGGAGGAGGTACAAGCACATCTTACTGGAAAATTCCAGAACAGTCACTGACGGCTATGTGAGCAGCAGGGAGGAGAGAGGCGCTGATTTTAGATTATACTTCAGAGCAGGTAAATTGACCATGTCTGAGCAACTACAATTTAAATCGACCAAAGATATAATTTCATGCCAAATCAGTTTGTACAATGAAATTATGATAACTATTATTTTCCTAACTCCTACTCTTTCTTCAGTACTTACCTCAAAACACCTCCTCCAGGAAACCCACTCCAGTCAGCCTGTCACCACGGCCCCTTGCCACCCTCACCCTGCCAACGCAGGTTAATTAGGGGCGCTCCCCACCTCTCTACTTCCTTCCAACAGCACTGGACACTGCAGCAGTTCCCACAACAGGCTCTGGGACCAGACTGCCTGGGTTCGAATGTAGTTCTGCTAACACCGTGCTGTGTGACCTTGGACAAGTGACTTAACTTCTCTGAGCCCCACTGAACTCATCTACAACAAGAGGAAAATAAAATCTATTTGGCAGATTTGCCCAGAGATGAAATTAGGCAATGTGGGTAAATGCTTAGCACATAGTAGGCTTTCAATAAATGCAGCTTACTGCTATAACTCATGATGCTGTACTGGTATTGCCTGCTTACTGCCCTGTGGACTGTGATACCTCAAGGAGAAAGACTGTATTATTTAGGAGAACAAAATATTGCTGAATGAAAGATTGGATGGATAGATGGATGGGTGAACGAAGGGGTGTAGATGGAGAGATGGGTGGGTAGAGGGATGGGTAAGTGGAGGGATGGGTGGGTGGAGGGATGATGGATGGATTGGGGAGAGATGGGTGGTGGATGGAGGCATAGAGGAGGGGTCGGTGGGGAAATGAATGAATAGGAAGGGATGATGGAGAGGTGAAAAGAAGGGGTAGAGGCTTCCACAAAGAACACCATAACCTTCAATGCTTAGTCACCCAAAGGGGGTCTGAGATCCACTACCCCTGAGTCAGCCTCTATTTTCAGGCCTCTCTCTCCTCACAAAGGGTGGGGTATGAGATTTCTGGGTAAGCACCCCAAGCCAGCTCTGAATGCCGGAACCCACTATGTTAGCTCCTCCACCTTCCCTCAAACACTCAGACACAAGAGGTAGAACTGGGGAGGGCTTGGTGTCTCTAAGAGAATCCTTCTGAGGCCTCTCTGGGGAGGGCTTGGTGTCTCTAAGAGAACCCTTCTGAGGCCTCTCTGGTGGCACAGACGTTAAAATCTCAGCTATCAAGCTATCGCCAGCCACTATGGCCTGAGTTCGATCCCTGGACAGGGAGATGACCCACATGGAGCAGCAGACCTCTCCTATCTGGCCTGCTGCTCCCCTCAGCAGTGTATTTCAGTAGATCATCCTTTTTTGCTCCTTACCTCTGTCTCTGGTGACTCCTCTCACTCCCGCACCTCTGGCCTACGCCCCAGTTCTTGTATGTATAAATAAATAAAAATAAATCTTTAAAAACAAAAGAGAGAGAGAACCCTCTGTGTTGGGCCCCTGTGGGTTTGCACCTGTAGGGCAGGTGGCTTGGTTAGTACATCTTCCCCTGAGGATGGGGAATAGGAGGAGCCCTCCAGCCTCACCCTAGAACTTGGATGTGCTCCAGAACCTGACAGATATAGCAGACCTGCATCTCTAAGTCCAGAGTGAGAAGGTGCGGGCTCAGGCCCAGCACCAGCAGGACACACACGAGAGACCTAGCGCAGCTGACCACCCTCCTGGGCCACCTTACCTGTCCAGTGATGCTCTTGGACCAGAGCGGCCTTTTCCCCAGCAGTTCCTCAGGACACCAGTCCTACAAGATGTGCTGTTAAGAACAAAAGATGGTGCCGTCACCAAGCTTGTGAAGCACCAATTCTCCCCAGAAGTCTGTGTACATGAAGCTATTAATGCCTCCAAAACGCACAGGAGCAAACATTTCTGCCTTGAAATGCTTTTTCACTTAACAGCCCCTCATACCATGTGGAACACATCCTAGGGAATGCTGGACCAATGGCTCTCGAGAGTCCCTTGGGGGTTGGCGCTGAGGTTTCTAAATGCTGCAGGATTCTAAGGAGGGGAGGAGGTGACACCCACCTAAGAGACACGCTTGGGTCTCCCTCTTCCTCATGCCCCTCATTCCCCAGGCCAGACATGTCTGCTCCAACCCCCTCCGGCCCCAACCTCTGCTCCCCACACTGTACCTGGACCAGAGTGGCTGCCTAGGGTTCCACTCTGGCCCTTGCCAACCAGCTACCCACCGGCAGGGAGGGCTCTTTGAAAAATGCAAACCAAATGGATCTTAGCCCTCCAAGGACGATGTGGCTAGAACATCTGGGCTCTTAGGAGGCCATGGAGGCCCTGCCTGGTTTGCCCTGCCCTCCCCCGTCTCCCATGCACACATTCACCCTGCCCTCATCCAGCTCAGGGCTTTTGCCCTTGAGGTTCTTCTGCCCCCCAAGGCCCTGCCTGGCTCCTTCCCTTCCGTGGACTCCAGGGCCCAGTCCCTTCCTCCCACAGGTCTTCCGTGAGCTGAGCACCTGATCTACACGGCAGGCCTCCACTCTAGCTGTGTGTTAGAATCAAAATAGGCCGATGCCCTGGCTCTGCCTCAGTCCTTGCCCCAGAAAGTCATCAGAACCTCAGGGGGGCAAAGAAGGACAGAGAGGGTGTGGGGGCTCCCTGAGGGCTCGGGGTTATCTTATTGATTTCCCCAGTGTGTCTGGCCCCCAATTTAGAATATGACCTCTTAAAGGAAGGGGCTGCACCTGTTCCACTCACCCTGCATCCCCAAGCCTAGGAACCCCGAACAAAGGAAGCTCTCACATGCACTTGCAGGAAGAAGAAAAGGAAGGAGGCCCGGGGAAGGACAGGAAAGGTTTCTTAGAAGAGCCAACACAAACCAACTTTCATCTTGCAACTGGAGGTTTCTGATCATTGCAAATGACATCACTCACTGCCTGGCAAGGCCAGGCTGCACACGGTGGAGGGCCTGGAGACTGGAGAACTCGGGGAGAGGGCTGCTTCCTCCCAAGATTGGATCTTAATCTCTGCTGGGTCAGAAAAACTGACAGGAGCTGTGAATACTTCTAGAAAGATGTGTGCCGATGGGCAGGCCCCGGCTTTTAGCCGATATAAGGGGCCACAGACTCTGAAAAGTGGGGAGGTCCTTTCTTCTCCAAATTGTTTAGCACAAGCCCCCCAGTCTTTGGCTGCACTCTGTTCTGACCCAGAAGCTCTAGAACTTGCTGGTGTCTGGGTCTGGGGTTTAGCCCTCTATCAAGATTTTTTTTTTCTCAGGCAATTCCAAAGTGTTGAGTCCCACTGCCGTAGGCCCCAACCTCCACGTGGCCCAGGCCCTCGGCTCTGAGTTGGGGGTACAGGCAGGCCCAGGGTCCTGGTGGGGCAGGGCCTGGCAGGGAGCATCTCACAGGAGGCTCCATCTTGGAGACTCATTCTCCCCGGGGTTTTTTAACCCAGTGCAATATCTGCTGGTAGAAAAAGACCTTTGAGATCATTCTATATCTCAGGGAGGTCAGAGAGAACAGCACCTATAGGTCGCCTGGCAAGGTCAGCTGCACACACAGAAGACTGAGAGGCTTCAGAACCCGAGCTCCTCTCCCCACCTGCTGCCTTGCCCCAGCTGGCCAAAGCTTCCACACACGGAGGCACAGGACAACTGGACTGAGAGTCGCACACGGCCCTTGTCCCCACCCCTGGCTCTGCCGCGTGTCATCACGTGACCTTGGGAACCTCAGCAGAGCTGCCGCCTTCGCAGTGAATGGGGACACGGAGCCCACCCAGCCACACAGGTGTGGAGGAGAACCACGTCAGGCTGGCAGGCTCTGTCCCCTCCTCTCACCTCCCTGCCTGAAGGTGCCACTTGGCACACACACCTGACCAGCTGTGTGGCCTGCAGCCATCACTTCCCCACTGTGCCTCAGATTTCCCACCTGTAAAATGGACCTAATCATGGGCTCCAGTGCAGCTTACAAGAGTTACTATCTATAAAATGCCCGGTACCCGGTAAGTGTCAAGTAAATGCTGGTCTAGCAATTACGAAGAGGATGGTGATTACCATCCGGAAGTTGTTCACTTCCTGACCCACAGTCTGAAGCCGGGTGAGGGGTTCGATTCAGCCACCAGATGTGTATCCAACCAAGGCCTCCGTGCCAGGGAGAGACCACAGCAGCTCCAGAGCCAGGAGGCCCTCTGCCCTACCCCTGGGCAGGGCCCCTGCTCCCAGACTCCAGGGCTGTGCCTCCTGCCTGAGACCTGGAGGCCCGGCCAGTCTGGTGAGTAGGACAGCCGATCCCGTGGGAGTTCCGTCTGCCTGCTCCTGCCCCTACTTAGGCAGAAAGGGGAGCAGGAGCGCCTGGGCAGGCCCATCCTCAGCCACTCCTCCTACAGGCTGGTACTTAGCTCACCGCTTCTCTGGACTTTGTCCTGACCGTTCCCCAAAGAGAGACTGGCCACAAACACTGTTTGTTTTCACCTGTGACAGGGTTATGAGTTTCCTGAAACCCAGGTTGGCTTTTTGACCTCCTCACTATCTTACTTTTTAATCTCCAGTCTTAACTTTAACTGTTATTGTTAAAACCAGGGGGAATAAAAAAATAAAAAGCTGTTACTCTAGGCACAGGAAAATTGTGACACCACATAGCACGATTCAGATCTCAAGTTTCCTTCCCAGACCTAGGCCTGCAGCCCAGCTGTGCTTCCTACTACCTATGTGACCTTGAGCAAGGGGTTTCCTGGACCTGGCTGAGCCCAAAATCTCCTCTCCCACTCCTCGGGTTGTTGGAGGGCTGAGAGAGGGCCTGTGAAGGCTTTGGGGGTGCTGTCAGCTGCTCTGAACGCAAGTGTGCAAGTCTCACGCCCACTGCCCTTGCCCCTTGCAGTTTGGAGGTAACACAGATCAGACCCTCCCAGGAGCCCCCAAGGGGCTCCTATCGGTCCCACAGATGGACCCAAGGTCCAGTGAGGGGCAGCTCCCCTCACATGATCCCATGAGCCAGTATGACAAGCTCCCAATTTCTTGAGGACCTTAATACCTGGAGCCGAGACTGTCTCCTGGTATTTCCAGGGAGAAAGCCAGGGGACCCAGAGGAACTCAGCAGCAGCTGCTCCACCCCTGGCCAGATTGTGGCAGAGGAGCAAGAGCACTTTCGAGTTGTATCACGCCATTCCCACTGTCTCTCATTTAATCTCTATACCACCCACCCCAACCCCAGAAATATTATTTTCCCCATTTAACAGAATAGAGACTCAGAGGTGCAGTGACTTACCTAAGGCACACAGGTAAGTGATTAACCCTCAATTAAAATTCAAGTAAATTCAGGTCTGACTTGTAAACTGAGCTCCTTCCTCCTTACCTGCTACCTGAGTGAATGAAGCGGATGGTGGACCCTGCTCACCCTACCCTTCTGCACCTCGGCCTACCTGCCTGAGCCCTTATCTTGCCCTATATCCAAGGCCTGACTCTTGGCTTCCTGTCAGGAAGGAACAGACCAGCCCCACCAACACCGGTCAGGATGTTCCTTCAGTATGGCTGATGAGTACAACAGATGCGACTCTGCATAGGAGGTTTTTGTCTAAAACCCAAGCAACGAGATCAGAGGGCCTTCTGCATGAAGAAGGGGCCCCTCTGATAAAAGGGTGCAGTGTGGGGAAGAAACTTCCTGCCTCTCCACCCGGCCATGCAGCCAAAGTCTAGACGTGAGGCTGAGTCATAGCCTCTGGCCTCTCCACGGTTCCCTTTTTTGACTGCTTCTGGCCTTGTGAGCAGGTTGCTTGGGCCCCATGCAGCCCCTGCTCTCCCCAATGCTGGGTGCTAAGGCTTACACACTCAGATTTACAGTGCCAGAAAGGACTTCGATATCACCTACTTCAGTACCCATTTCTCAGATGAAGAGACTAAGGATCAAAGAGGAGCGTGGTCCTTCCTTCATTCTGGGGAAAGTGTTGGCTCTGTGTCTATGTTGGAGGCAGGGAGGAGATTGGTTAGAGCCACGGCTGCCTCCCAACCTGTTCACATCAAGATATCGGTAGAGAAGCATACTTATGTGTTCAGCACCTTGGGGCACATAGATAGGATTGAACCTGGTGTGAGCCTATCCCAGGGCTCTGTCCCAATGCTCCATCCTGAGAGCTGAGAAGATTGCCATGGCCATCTCGACACATCAAGAACCCTTCAGGCACATTGGTGGGGATGCCCCAAATTACAGGAGTATTTTGGGCTATAAGAGAGGCCCTCTAGGAGCCCCAATTCCAAGGGCCCTAACAAGGGGACCCAGATTCCCAGGTGGACTCTCAGGAGTTGGCCACCTCCTGAGCACCATGCCCCAGTCCCACGGCAGGAGACCGAACAAGGGCCCAGGTCATAGAATGGACTTTGAACTGAGAGACCTAAATTTCAGTCCCTGGCCCGGCTGCACTCTGCATGGAGACCTTGTGACTCTGGAGGCCAATGTCCTAGCTACTCTGATTCTGCCTCCTGCCACATGGCCTTCCCACCTGGGGTTGCTGAAGACAGCATTAAAGGAGCAGGCCCCAGGCCCCAAACCCATGGGAGCTGAGCATCTAGGAGTGGGGCCAGGCATCTGCAGGTTACACACACACACACACACACACACACACACACACACACACACACACACTGTTTTGCTCTACACTAGACAGTCATGACAAACGTGGGTGCCAGGCTGATACATCAAGACAGGAACCCAGGCTGGCTCATGGGTGAGAGGGTCCTGAGGGGCTGCCCTTGGGTGGGAGGTGGGCAGGAGTAGGGAGCAGGAGGCTCCCCAGTGGCCATTCTCTGCTCAG